AGTATTATAATAAAATTTTTAGAACCTCTTTAAAAAAAAATTAGGGTCCTAGAGTTCAACTTTATTTTCTCATCTCACCCAATGTTTATATTATATGTATTATCACTTTACAGTCTTATTATTAAAATCAGTTGTCTATCGTATAATAGGTATAGATAATGATTTTATATTTATACAACTTAAATTTAAGGCTATTTTTTGATCAATTTGTTTATAATATATAGAATAACTATAAAATAAAATGAATAGAAATAACACATTATTTGAAACTAATCGATCATAGTTGTTATACTAATTAAACTAAGTTTCAATTATATTTTTGTTTATCTTTAACAAATAGTATGTATCATTTGAATTTGATCTCCAAATTTGACTACGGTAAGCATAATTTTTATTTATAAAATTTAAATTTTAATTAGTATGTTATATCTCAAAAAAAAAAAAGACAAAACAAATAATTTTTAAATAAACATATTTTAATATTTTGATAACTATTTAATACTAATATTATTATTAAATAAAAATTATTAGGGCCCCACCTAATATTTTTTTTGCCTAAGGCCCCTAGTTGGTTTGGGCCACCCTTGTCAAAATAACGTACTAAAATAAAATTTTAATTGAAAGTTCAAAATAATGTACTAAAATAAAATTTTAATTGAAAAACTTTCAAATAGAAATCAAATTGGTTGAAGTCAATTGATCTTAATGATAAGCCAAATGCCGACTTGCTAGCATGAGAATCTCTCTCTCTCTCTCTCTCTCTCTCTCTCTCTCCCTCTCTCTCTCTCTCTCTCTTTCTCTCTGTCTCTCTCTCTCTCGTTGACTAGTGGATATGTGACATGTAAGGGTGACTCCTCAATGCCAAGTGCCAACTTTTGGCTGGATTTAGGTTAACCTAATTAGACCATGCGGCCACCTAAACAATTGGATTCGTTTTTTTTTTTTCTAATTTGAAGGTTAGAAGAAATAGACTTGTGCCCGGAGATCAAAGAAAGTTCCATCTTTAGTTAATGGAACAATTACACATTGACCCCTCAATTATGGTCTTCATCTCACTTTACCTAGTGAACTATTGAGCTTCTCATGTAGTCTCCTCATCCATTTAAATTGATTTCACATTATACCAAATTAACAAATATGCAACGTTAATGTTGTAGATGAAAAATATTCGAAGGTGATATAAAAAAAGTGCTTTAATGTTCATAATATAGACAATCTAAAATCAATAACCGTAATTGGTGGGGTAATTTGAAAAACGTTACCGATTAGAGAATAATGTAAAACCAATTTTTCCATCCAGAAAATGCTCCAAGGTCTCAAAGAATTTAAAAAAAAAAACACAAGTGTGCGAGTTTTTTGCAATGTAATAAATGAGTCACAATCCAGTTCTTTGACCTTTCTTCTTTTTTGACCAAAGTAAAGAAATACAAACTCTAACTCAGATAGATAGGATAGAATTCTTTATTCTATATGTTCTCTTCTGATTGAGTCGATGACAAAAACCTAACCATCTATCAAAAAACATACAAAAAAAAATCATAATGAATGACATTATCTGAATATTCATGACCTAAGTAACACCTTTTTTTTTTTTTTTTTGGAGGCGTTGCATTTTCTAAATGAAACAAAGTCGAGTTTACTTCCTACCATGGTTAGCAATTTATCACTAATATGTCAATTGATAAGACAGAGACATTCGTCACTTGAGCTTCACCAATTTATGAAGGCTTATTAATTAAAGAAAGTTGACCTTTTGAGAGCTCTCTCTTGTAATCAATATGTCAACGAGACTGAAAGAAAAAAGTGTAATTACACTTGAAGACCGTAAGAATTGAATATTATAGTGAATTCTTAAATTTTTACCAAATCTTAAATATCAAATGACAACACTGAAAAATATTCTGCAAAATCAAAAATTAAATATTTTAATTATATAATTATAAATTAAAATAAACAAAAAAAAAATAAGAAAGATGTACCGCAGATAGAAGAGAGGGTATGTGTGACTTAGTGGGTCGTCTGGTATTAATGTATGTGTTAATTGAATTGTCTGATATTAAGGCTGTGCAAAAATGATAATGTTTTTGTGTAAATTTTTTTTAAATGAATTTTATACTATTAGACTAAATTAAATTAATCTCAACCGTTGTAATGTGTTTTTATAAATGTGCAATTAGAATTGATAACTGTAATATTAGATAGATGTGGTATGATGACAATTATTGAATGGTTAGTAAAGTTATTAGATGCTTATTAATCTAATTACCCACATTAATTTAATAAGAAAAATTGAATGATAATTTTAGTAAGTGTAAGATTGTTTTTATGATTTATCATCAAATCACACAAATCTTGTCCCGTTGTTAGTTCTTGTTGGAAGGGACAGATGCCCTGCCGTATATTTGTTTAGGGGCGGGGAAAGGCTATGGTACCATCCCCGGTAAGGGTGTCAAATATGTCGGATTAAGTCATTTTGTATCGAATTAATTTAATAATTGTATTGAGATGTATAAACACTAACTTGACCTAACCATTAAATTGGTTATCCAAACTCGACCTGTTTGACACGTTTAATAAATAGGTCGTTTCGGGTTAACACACATAATATGATCTGTTTAACTTGTTTAGCACACATAACACAAATCTGTTTCCACACTAGTTCATTACAATTAATTACATCATTCAATTATTCATCTAAAATTTCAAATAATTTTTTTACAAATAATATATCACATCTCATCATTAAAATTAACTAAAATGTATTCAAATTTCAATCTAAAAATTAAAGAAAGAACTATATTAGTATATTGTCATAATAATGTTTAAAACTATACTACTAATTATCATAATAGAAGCAAGAAATAATAAGTAATAATATTAAGACAATGTCAATTATACATAATAGACAAATTATATTGCTATAAACAGGTTAAACGGGTCTACAGAGGTTAAGTTCGTATCCGAATCATGTCAACTTGTTCAAAATATACAGGTTAATCATGTCAAAATTAAGTTGACCTGATTTGACATAAACCCGACATGATTTTTTTGTGTTTAAGCGTGTTGATCAATTTTAACCCATTAACTTGTTTAATTTCGTGTTTGACACATTAATTTCTTATTTGATTCGTATCGTGTTAACGTGTTGTGCCAAAAATTGACAGTCCTAATCAGCGGTATAATACCAAAAATTATAACTTTTTAGTGTTAACTAATAATTTTTTTAAAGTGTAAATGATATAATCAATCATGAAAGATTAAAATCGATACTGAAAAAAAGCTCTTTTGTGTATTAGGTACGACTTTCTATAGTGTAGCGGACGAGAAAATATTCATTATACCTATTATACCACATTAACATCATCACGTGATGTAATCATTTATGAGAAAAATGAATTTCATTCCTTCAAATAACTATTCTCTTTTACATGTAAGATAATAATCACTTTATGTAAAAAAAAAATTGAAGTTTACCTTATTCGTTTGTTTACTTATTATTAGACAATGATATCTCATAATAATACTAACATAGTGTATTACACTAGGTATATTTGATTTAGGTACAATAAATGGTGGAATTAGAGAATTAATTTCGATACAAGTTTTTCCGAAGGGATTAATTAATGTACTATTTAATCCTATACCATGTATATCATGTTTGGATCAAGATTATAATAAAGTGTAAAATTGTTATTATAGCACTAATATCATGTTTGAATTAAGTAGCAAAATATGGTATTAAATTGAAAATTACCAAACTAACCATATGCTAGATACATGGCATGCGATGCTAGGGTTATGTAAGGATAAGGATGTCATTTGAAACAATAGTCCCGTATAGGTAAGAATTAATACCATTTCTCATGTGGTATTCATTTATACCAAATATAGAATGTTTTTTTTTTTGATCAGGAATTATAGAATGTTAAAGGAGCATATTACCGCGTACCAAAATTAACAAGAAAAATAATACCGGATTTTATTTTCTCATCCAAACTCATAATTAAGTCAAAACTGGACTAATTTAGTCCAATCCTAAGCTTTAATATATACTTAAAGGGCTAGTTTGTTTCAAGTATAAGATTTAGGTGGTATAATATTTTATATTCATTCCACTCCAATCTAATATTATAATATACTCGGTCTTAAACTATAATTTCATCCTTATCCTTGTTTGTTTGTCACAAACATTATCTGTGTAATACCTACTTAAAAAAATCAACAATTGCGGCTAACCAATGTAAAAAAACAATTTTAACCTTAAAAAGTCAAAAATTGCAAATAGACTTTTATATGAGCATTTGTACTTGAAGGCATTTCGGTCTGTTTAGTTTATTATACCTCCATTCATTTATACCAAAAATATTATATTACCGGATAGGTGGTATTGAATAACACCGTGTAGAAGGTATTAGTGTTATTGTTCACACCGGATTGGTACTATGACTCAAAAATTAGTACCTAATAAAAAATGCCAAATAAATAAAGTTTAAGGTAGGTCCCACATACTATTTTTCTTATATCACCCTTATACCCCAAACAAACTAGCCCAAAGGACATCTTTGGATGGTATTTCAAAGGGGATATGGATTGGTTTTGCTAAAACCTTCTGAAACTCAACTATTTTTTTGTACATGAGATTAATATACAAATCTTATCTATACTTTTATTTGATAAATAGTATAAAAATACGTGAAATCCATGAATTAATAACAATTATAACCAAAAATTTTTATATAATTGACTAAATTATTCATCGATCAATCCGGTCCATATCCATATTTATTTAAGTCTAAAGAGAAAAGTGTTTGGGATTGGGATATGATTTGGGTGTATGGAATAATTTATTAGGGATACAATAGTCAATTTGTCTATTTTTCCTGGGTTTGGTGGGAATTGAGATTAAGTAAAGTTACTAAACTCGTAAACAAATTACTTAGCAACTTTCATTAATTAACTCCGCGAAATTGCTTTAATAAAATTTGGAATCCGCAGGGGTGAGAGAGAGAGACAGAGAGAGAGTTGTAGTGAGAGAAACTGAGAAACCGTGAGGTAAAGCCAAGGATCCGAGTATAATCCATGGAAGATCTGAGATTAGGTGCGCCATAGTCTTAGATATCTTCTTTCCACTAATGTGGAACCTTGTATCTTTCCTTTCTTTATTCATATAATCATTGTTTGTTTGTAACCTCTTAATTGATGGATTTTCATACCTTTTATTTTCTTTAGGTTCTTCATCAACTCATACAGAAATGTGTATGGCTTTGTTTTAAATCGTGAAATATTGAGTTCTCTGTGTGACATCTTCAGCAGGTTTAAGGCAATTTTTTATTTTCTGAAAGTATTTGTAATTTGCTCTGTTTGTTTTTCATTTAATGTTGGCTAGTGAAGGCTTGGGAAGAAAGGTACATTTCATTGTTTTGTTAAGAAAAATTGTTGGTCTTGTTGTTATAATAAGGAAAAATGGTTATTCTAGTGCTCTATGTGTTATGTGGTTGAGGAATTTATGGACTTTTGGGTTGTTTTTGGGCTTACAGTATTTGTAGTTTCAATGTAATTGTGGAAATTTCTTTTGACTGAAGAAATTGATCTTTAATCATGTAATGGCACTTAAAAAAAAAAAAAGAAGAAATCGAAAAGGAGAGGACCCTGTAATGTCATAATCAAATTCTGTGATGCTGATACTGAAGTTGGTACCTTTGTTTTTCCCATTTCCTGGAAAAGGAAAAAAATCAATTGGATTTCTTAACCTCTTTTGTGGCTTGATTGATGAAGGTTTGCTTTTTCAAAATTATAAACAAACTTTGTTTTTTTGCCAATTCGAGTGTGTCGTATTCCCTGTGATCTAGAGTACTTTATTCAAGTGAGCTTATCTGCATAGAATTTGTTTTAGTTTAGTTTTTTTTTTTTTTTTTGGTGTCTCTTTACATTCTTCGTTTGAATCAGTTTGTGAATTTTAATTTATAGCATTTATGTTTTTTATAATGAGGTTCAAGAAGCGGGAAAGTTGTTTCTTAAAGCATGGTATTTTAGACTGCTTTAAAGTACTACATGTGAAGTTCTTCTTTTATGGGAATCTTCTTTTCTTGATTTGGGTGCTTTTCCTTGTCCACAGAAGTCTCTTTTTTTCATTGGCTATTAAGATGTGGAGAAGAAATTAGAACTAAAACATAATTACATTTGCAGTTATATCATGGTGTTGATGTCGTTAAGTTGAGGTCACCGTATTGGGAAATTTGGAGAGCAATTTATGCACAGATACTGGAGAGACCATACATAGAAACATTCTGGTGGATGCGGTTGTAGTTGTACTGGAGTAAATGTCATTCCGCAGCTTAGCTCAAGATTTAAGGAACGGTATTGGGAGCTTATCAAGGCGAAGTTTTGAGGTGAGATTGCCTGGTAATCACAGAGGGAAATCACACAGTGCAGTCCATGAGTTACATGACCAGCCTCAGGTCGTCCAGAATAGTTGTTGGGCTAGTCTTCCGCCTGAGCTGCTCCGTGATGTGATTAAGAGGTTGGAGGCCAGTGAGGATGCGTGGCCGGCTCGCAAGCATGTTGTTGCCTGTGCTGATGTTTGTCGGTCATGGAGGGAAATGTGCAAGGAAATTGTAAAAACCCCAGAATTTTCTGGGAAGCTTACCTTTCCAGTCTCCCTGAAGCAGGTAGGTTGTTTCTTCTCTTTAGTTTGCTTTAAATTATTTTCTAGATTGCATGTATTACGATCAACCTCAATATTTCTTAACCCATAATCATTATTTTATGTTTGCAGTAATCCAGAGAAAAATTAATTCTAAGGAGGATTGGTGTACTGTCCTATTGAAGTTGACATTTTCCTAATTTAATTTTTTTTTACAGCCAGGGTCTCGGGATGGAACCATCCAATGTTTTATAAAGAGAGACAAAGCTAATTTGACTTACCATCTTTTCCTTTGCCTTAGCCCTGGTACGTGTCCCTTACAGTTTTAGTTGATCATGGTTGGAGAATTTTTGCAACCTGTCATGTGGGGATTGAATTGGATCTTAGACTGTGTTGTAATCAGCCTCCTGGTGCTTTATTTTTGTGTCATTGATGGGTTTAGGCCTTTAGGTGAACAACACACACTCATTTGGCTTTGATGGTCGTGTGGATCATATAGGAGTCTTTGGTAAATTAGTGATGCATTTTATGTGGTTCATGCATCTCTATCTATCCTTGACTTTAACTTCAAAACATTGATGAGCTGCCCTTCTAATGCCCAAAGTACCGCATTGTATCCTGCATGTGTAATTTGTGCACACTCCCTCTCTCTTACTCCTTCTCCCCTCCCCCAAACCAACCCAAAAAAATAAATAAATAAATAAATAAAATTGAAAGAGAAACAAACAGAAACATAACAAGAAAAGGTAAGCTGATGATTAGCTTTGTAATGCAAGCCCAGATCCACGGTTAGGTGCCCCCCGAAACTTCCTCCGAGTCAATAGTTCTATCAGCTCAAGCTTAATCTAATCAATGTGTCAATTAACAAGCCTAAGAAACCGGGCCTATATGCTTGTCATGGTGTTCCTTTTAGATCGTTCAACAATAACATCAAAGATTAATTACCTTTGACGTTTTGCTATGGCACCAAACACTATCCAACCCCCATTGTTACATTTGAATCCTGCCAGTTCTGAATTTGTTTGATACCTAGGTTCAGTGTTAGTGGAAACCACAGTTGGAGGGTGCTTGCGAATTCCTATTAGCTTTTTGTTTATACTTTATTCAATTCATGGGAAATCGTTAGGTCTATCTGATTTGGAGTACTGGAGTTGAGGGATCATTGAGAATCTGCAACTAGCTTGGTTTGCTGACTTGGGGCTGGTACCAGCTATATTGGTCTGCTGGCTTTAGTATGTTCTCTGCTGCAACAGCTTATTTTGAACATTTGTCACAAAGTACAGAACTTCATCTGCTTCAGTGCTGTAATTTACTAAAATCATTCCTCTTTTTTTCCAAATTATTTTAATTAAGTGACCCCATCAGCTAGAGTTGCACTGCATTTCGTCCTGCGGTGGGTGGTTAATAAATACTTTGCTTGCGTTGTCATTTGAAGATAATTTGAAACCCAGGCTTAAGCCATTTAGGTGAATTAATTCATCTTGAAATTGACCAAGTTTGATCTGACTGTGTAATTTACTTGCTTTGCCAATTGGTTTGAATTGTTTGACGTTTTATTGCCCTTGGCCTTTCACTAGCACAGTATCTCCAGTGTGGTGGATTGAATCATTGGAATCGATCTTACTTGAATTCCATTCTCTCTTGATTAATGTCTGTTTTCACTATGCCTTAATGTGACCTTTACTTTGCTTTTGCAGCACTGCTTGTTGAAAATGGAAAATTTCTTCTTTCTGCAAAACGGAAATGGAGAACAACTTGTACAGAGTATGTGATCTCGATGGATGCAGATAACATATCAAGATCGAGCAGCACTTACATTGGAAAATTGAGGCATGTGCACGATTTAGTCTGTCTTGTATGTTTGATTTTACACTAGCAACTATGCTTAAATTCTACATATTCCATCTGCAGTGACATTCTTAGCAACTTGTTAGATTTTCAACACTGCATTAAAAATTCTAGGCAATGGAAGGGCTGGTAATCAAGTCCAATCATAAATCTTTTAATGAATCTGGATGCTTGACATATTCTTGGAAAATTTTCTTTGATATAATAATTTATATATGTCTGGAATGTCATATTAAGTTATTGTTTTATGAGCGTACTTAGTCCCATTGTTCACTATTGGATTTGTCTGTGTAGATTTTTTTGAGGGTATCTTGTTTGCGATGACTTCCATTTGTGCTCGCTGGAGTGCTTGGAGATGCTGACAATTAGTGTCAAACAAATTTTGTTTTAGATTTTGCTGCTTTTAGCTTTGGCTGCTGTATTTTTCCTTTTCTGCTATTTCTGTGGGAGAAGAAAACTAACTGGAGGAGAAACAAAGTAGGGTGGATTGGGGGTGGGGAAGGGTTCAATAATTTCTGAGAGGAAAAATTAATTTTGAATTTTAATAAATTTTGTTCTTTCAGTCGAGATCTCCAGGTTAATACACGGTCTTAATGGAGAGAGAGTCTTCATATTTCATGGACTCTTCCTAATGTCTGAATTGTGAAGTTCTTGTGTCCAAAACACATGGCATTAGTAAGGTATACCAACGGGCCTTTGGTCCAATGGTATTCCTTAACTTATTAAGGTCTTGTCTTCTTAAGGTTAAGGGTTCAAGCCCCTTCCCTCCTCCTCCCCCCAAAAAAAAAAAAATTGGTAAGGTATAGGATGTGCCCGGCATTGCTACTTCGACATGCATCTACAAGTGTGCTTCGGAACTAACAGTAAGATACTGATATAATAGTATATAAAACTTATGTCTTTTTTCCACAATGATTGCTTTAGAATGAGAGAAGTCCAAGTGCTTAAAGGTGTTTAGTAAACAAACCATTGTCTTTTTGAAGATAAAGTAATATTAATATTTAGCCTAGATCTTCTGTAATACTTGTCTGTTATTTCTGGGGAGCAATTCCTTGTCCTTGCAAGCAAGTTATGTGTTAGACAAGTTCAACCGAAGTACCAGAGATTCAATCACAATTGCAATCAGTCCACATACAACCAAGAGGATAACTTTAATGGGAAAACTCTAATTAGATAGGAGAAACCACAGGATAGTGGGAGCAAGTTCACTATGTGGTAAAACAAGAGTATGAAAGGTCTACTCAAGTAACAACTTAAGAATAAACAGCAAGTGGAATGAACAGTTAAGAGGTACTGCCTTGTAAATGAAGGACATTCACAACTTACCAAAGACTGTAGACTATTTTCCAAGATCGAATTGAAAGTGATTGGCTTGAAAATCTCAGTGTAGGAGAACTAGAATAATTTGGAGAGTAGTGGAAAAAGGATTATTGCCAAAAGTTTCTTCTTCACCCAAGAACCCTTAGTTGGGAGAAAAACATCTTTGTGAGAGCTTCTGTCCCAAAACCAATTGCTAATTAGTGGAGAAGCACCTTAAGAATAAAAACCCACTTATGTGGTCCTAATTATTCGATGTGGAATACAAGCTCTCTTTACCCCCTTGCTCGCAAGGGACTTTGGCTTGCACGTGGGGCTAACAAATAGACAGACAAATGTAGATGCGGGGAAATTAAAATGGGTAAGAGACTTTGTTCACTGACCACCTAAAGTTCTGGTAGCATCTAATCCGAAATCAATTGGCAATGAGTGGACAGGTTCTTTAAGCTTAATGATCCGATGTGAGATACTAGTTCTCTTTACAATCTTGGTGTGAGCAAAAACTTTTTTCATGGAGTATCTATCGATTTCAAGAACTTGTTGAAGACTTTGTGGTCCCTATTTGGCTTGTTCCTCAGAGATGGATTTGAACGGAAAACCAGTTTAAAGGCCAAACATAGATAATGGGGCATTGGTCTTCTTTTTAAGGATCTTGAAGACAGGATTTGGTAAAGATTTCCTTTTTTAAAATAGAACATGCTAGTTAAATGGATGGAGAAAAAAATTTTCATTTCTAAAATTATTTGATGTGGAAATTGATTTCAGGTAAAACTACTATGCATATGCTCTTGGAATACTTGGGTGTTTTCCATCCATTTTCTGGCCTTTCTTCTGTTCTTGTAGTGCTTCAAATTTAAACAAATCCCACCCAACTGGTGTATGAAAATGTTTTTTGTTGCACATGGCCAAATTCTTCTGTTGAATGATCTAATTTAAGAGATGCTTCAAGAGTGTAGTAACTATTGTTTCCCTACTAACGTCCTCAGGGAAACCTCTGGTTTTACATGATGTTATTCATTTTTACAATGTTTATCCATTGCTTCAAATCCTACATCATGGTGAAAAAATCATGTTATGAATGCTTAGTAACTGCGTTTTCTTTATAGAAAATGATCAGCATAGAGCATGGCATAAAAAGTTGAGGACTTTTATGGTGCAGATACTCTATTGATGCTCTGATATACAGCACTAGTTTAGTTGTGTATTGCCTACAGTGCATCTGCTTCATGTGTTAAATGTTTTATTCTTTCAGGTCCAACTTCCTGGGCTCAAAGTTTATAATTTATGATACACAACCTCCATACAACAGTGCTCATCTTTCCCCTCCTGGTCGTACAAGTCGTAGATTCTACTCTAGAAAAGTTTCTCCAAAAGTGCCTACTGGGAGCTACAATATTGCTCAGGTCACTTTTGAGCTGAATGTACTAGGCACAAGAGGGCCACGGAGGATGAACTGCATTATGCACTCAATTCCCGCCTCGGCCCTTGAACCAGGTGGCACTGTCCCTGGTCAGCCCAAGGTCCTTCCCCAGTCCGTTGAAGACTCATTCAGGAGTATCTCCTCAAGATCAATTGGTAACTCGACTGAGTTCAGTAGTGCCCGGTTTTCAGACATTGTTGGCCTGCACGAGGAGGAATACGAGGGAAAGGAAAGACCTTTGGTTCTTCAAAACAAGGCTCCAAGATGGCATGAGCAGTTGCAATGTTGGTGCCTTAATTTTAGGGGGAGGGTAACAGTAGCATCTGTCAAAAATTTCCAGCTGATTGCTGCTACACAGCCTGCTTCTGGTGCACCAACCCCAGCACAGCCGGCCCAATCTGATCATGATAAGATTATTTTGCAGTTTGGTAAGGTTGGCAAGGATTTGTTTACCATGGATTATCGATATCCTTTATCTGCATTTCAGGCTTTTGCCATCTGTTTGAGTAGCTTTGACACGAAATTGGCATGTGAATAGTGGGAACAAAATATATTTGGTATTATATTACTTCTCTTAAATTTTATAGAATCGGAACTGTTGTATGTAGATGGTGTATAACTTATTATCAGACTGGAGAGTGCAGGATCAATATCGTCATGCACATTGGAGGAGGGTTTTCCTTTTCATTTGCTTTCTGAATTTTCTTCTTTTGCCCATGGCTTTAGTTTGCTTGGGATGGTTGACCATCATTGTGGAACTTTGATTGCTCTTAATGTGATGAAAGGAACAGCTAAAGAGTATAATGTGGGTGTTTTTGACTTTATCATTTGCCTCTGCTTATTTCATTTTCTAATCGGCTGTCATATATGTGTTCTAATCGGCTACAATATTGCTTGGTCCACTGCTGTTTAGGCCGTTGTTCTGTCCAACAGTTGTTTTGAGCTCTTGTAACTATGGCTTTACTGAGTTGTATGCCATTCTTGCCATTTTGCTTGCTCCTTCGCCCATTCTTAGTTGGAGTAATCTCTTGTTTGTGTATGATTTGCTTGAAGCCTTTTTTCCATCCGACTTCTTTTGGATGCAGCCATTGATGGATGCTCTAGAACAATATCACCTCGACTCCATGTTCTTTGGAGACTTGTGTTACTGCTGCTAGGAGGATTATCTGGTATTGTAAGAAGCTCGGTACTTCCTTGAACCCAAAAAAAATGACTATATCGTTTTCAATCCAGCATGTTTTGGAACAAATTTATTCGACATTCTTTTGCTTAAAAAGATGGCATATGCACTGCAGTACACTAAAAGGTCAAAACTCGTAATAGACATCTTGTTTGACTTGATATGCATGTAATTTCGTGCATGTCCGTTCTGGTCATGAGTCCAAATTACACACAGTTACACAGTTTTGTCTTGAGTCTCGTTTTTTCCTGAAAAACTGAATTATGGATCTTGATTTTCATATGACAAACTTGCCTCTGACGAAGGAAAACACCAGACTGTTAGAGAGGATCCACCTTTAAATGATAATTAATATATATATATATATATATATATATATATGCAAATGCAAAGGCGTAGTAGTGAACATATTGAGAAAGTAAGCACTCATCTAGTTGTTTGCCATTTGACCAGCAAAATGAAACAATCTGCTGATTTTGGTGCAACTACAAAGTTCCAAACTTGATGTTGCAAACCAATGTTTAAAGAATCAGCAATGTCGTATCCGAGTTGGCACTTTATGTTCTCGTGCCTTCCACATTCCTATAAAACTAAGTCTCAATCAGCTCTCGATTGACTCGAAGACTTATCGGTCGACTCATTCGAGGTATCGCTATCGACTTGTACCTTATTATTGTATATCATGTTGTGATTTAGCAACATTACCTTCACCATATCCAACTTCTTCTTTTATCTATCATTTCGTGTGAATCATCTTACTCGGCTCGAGGTTAAATCAGAGGCTTCTCGATCAACTCATCCGAAGTATTATTATCGATTCGTACCTTATTATTATATACCGAGTTGTGATTTGGCTACATGGCCTTTGCCATATCCAACTTCTTCTTCTATCTATCATTTTGTATGAATCATCATGATGGAACA